GCGCAGCTTCAATGAAATATAAGGTAACTGGTCGCTTTAAATAGGGGAAGACATTCGAGGCACATTTTCAAACATTACATGCATCGATTTATGTGTGGTTTCATTTATGTGGTACACCTGGAGTGTTGTTTACTTGTACTTGGCGAGATAGTGCATGGATTGCTCGATGACTTAAGGCCATCGAGCAATTTCGTTTTTAGCTACAGTCGTTGATGAAAGGCGAGTGCTTGGCTTTGCACAGCCCGCCAAAACGCCTATTACAACGTACGCGGCATACCGTAAGCGCTGTAGCAGACGCTCGCGGAACTGAAACTTAGATGCAGCAAATCATTGGCTGTCATCGTTTACTCTCGATGCTAGACGCTTTGCGTGCTACCTTGATATTATCGGCACACGCTTCTTTCTTTCCTTGTCGTTTCATCAGCTATCGTGTGTCCTCCTTGCCCTCTTAAGTGCCAAATAAGTTAAATTCATACCCGCGCTATAGTAATCCCTCCAGATAAGAGAACTTTTGGCTAAGAAAATGCGTAGCCAAAGAGAAAGCTTTGTGAATTCGGCCCCTGATTGTTTGCCACTGCTGTCGTGCTAAAAGGTAGCTGTGGGCCTTTGTCAAGCTGCCTCTTTTGGAGAGCAGCTTTTACCTGCAGCTCTCCTTCATCAAACTATTGATGAAAAAAAAACATTATTATTATTATTATTATTATTATTATTATTATTATTATTATTATTATTATTATTATTATTATAGCGGCTCCTGTTCGTCCCTCGTAGCCGTTGTATTATGTAACGAGTATAATATTTTGACCTCCAAGGTGGTGCCGGTGAGCGATTTCTTCTGTGCGTTGTTGTAAAATAAAAAATAGTGCTCAAAGTGCACGCCAATGGCTGCTAATGGGGAATGAGAGACAGGAGCATTCGGCTTTTAGCTAACGCGCACGCTGCAATCCTCATTAGCAGCCATTGGCATGTAGAGTGAGCACTATCTGACAAGAAAGGGTTGCTACGTTATACTCGCTGGGTGTAACCTGCTTAGTTTTAGAAAGGTTTAGCGAGCGTTGAGCCGCAGTGACATGAATACAATGAACTAGTATATACCATGAATGAACTCGAGGTGGTTAAAGGTGGGAAGTAGATACGAAGCGCAAGACGTAAGAAAGTAAAAGCCGAATTCTCCTGTCTCTCATTTCCTATTAGCAGCGATTGGCATGTACATTGAGCACTATATGACAGGAGCACTATCTACACCCATGTTGTACGCACCACGTCCCAGGGATGCAGAAAGTGGACCAACGCCCGCGTTTCACGCTGATGCTTCAGATACTGAGTGGCCTTCGCTACCGACCAGAGCAATAAAAAAGACCGCATCATGGGCTTCAACTTAAAAGAGGGCGAAAAATGATAGGAAAGACACTGAGAAGAACCAAACCACGCTGAAGCATCTACTAAAATCTATTCGTGCCATTCTCAACGAGCTACACACGCCATGTGCGAAAACAGCAATGCAGATCCTCAACGTGCTGGAACCGCTACTGCTGGCCCTTCCATAAACAATATGGCGAAATTTCTTCGATGAGCGTGTGCGCACCTCTGCTATAATGCAGTGGAACGCACGAGGTTTGCGAAGCCGATTGCCTGACTTTCGAAAACGAATGCTTAAATACAAATTTCCGTTGGTTGGTATATGTGAACCGAATATGATGTCATCGTTTTGGATTTCCGGATACGTCACTTTGTGGTCACGCGATCATCGAAATGCGAGCAAAGTAATTATATGCGTACGTCGAGATTTAACGTACGTGAGGCATGCCATGGCTCCTCATGCTTGTAACGACAATTTTGGCCTATCTATAAAGCATAAGTGACGTTCATTATCAATCATTCGTGGATACATTCCTTCTCGAAGCCAAGTGGTCTTTTTCCATCTGTTGTCCGTGCTCCAAGCTTGCCCCGGCCACATGTATTAGTTGGGGATTTCAATGCACATCATCCCATAGGGTTCTGCCTCAATGAACACCCGCGGTAGGGACATTGCCAATTTTGTGCTCAATCAGGGCCTGATGATCATCAACGATGGCTCACCTACTTACCTCCGTGGTGCATCGTACAAAAGCTGTCTGGACGTGTGTTTTGTGAGCAGAAGTCTCTTGCCTACCACCTGTTGGTTCGTAGACGTTGAAACACATGGAAGTGACCATCTACCTACATATATACAGCTAAAAGGATTCTGTCGTTCGACTCCCCTGCCTGTGAAAAGCGTAGACTGGCCAGGATTTCAAGCTTCTGTAAACACTCAGTGCGGGAACATTCAATCTTTATCTGAAATAGATAGCCTCATGGCATCAGCCTTAACAACGCATACGAGACTTGTGAGTGCATCGCTACCAAGATCACAACTTGACGCACAATATGAATACCTTCGTGCAATCCGTCGCCGGGCAGAGAGGAAATACAGGAGGACGAAATCACCATTCGACCTATCTACAGCACGCCAAGCTCAACTACATGTATTGCGACACCTCGATAAGCTCGACAGGCAACGGTGGAGGGTGTTTTGTGGCTCGCTTGATCCCAGAAAACCCCTGTATCGAATATGGCAAATTGTCCGAAGCCTTCATACGCCTACGAAACAGTTGTTCCCTTTCCGAGCTTTGGCTCTAAAGCAAGGTCGACCTGAAGTAGAGGTTGCAGAAGATTACTGCCACTTACTCGTAGGTATGTCCTCCTCGCCAATATCACCTTCGTGTTTAGCCTCAGCGCCATTCAGCGACGATCTCCTCGACTTGCCAACACGAACTCAACACTGCAATATCTGCGTCCCGACGCTCGTCCGCACCAGGGCCATACGGAATTACTTATTCGGCTCTATATCACCTCAGCCAGGAAGCAAGACAGGCTCGCTTGTCGTTCTACAACTCTACGTGGGAAACAGTGACAGTCCCAGAGAGTTGGAAGTGCAGCCGCATAGTGGCCTTACTGAAACCAGGCAAGTGTTCACACGAGTTGTCTTCTTATAGACCCTAGCCAGTTGCATCGGTAAGTTGATGGAACGCATGGTGCTGAAAAGATTGGAATGGCTGCTGGAGAATAATGTTGGCTTACCAAATTTTGTCAATGGCTTCCGTAGGGGTCGATCATCTATAGGCGGAGTTGTAGACCTAATTTATTCTGTTGAAAAGGAAAGACAACGTCGGAGATTGGTAGGGGCCATATTTTAGATATAAAGGGCGCGTACGATAGCATCATCATGAGGTCATTCCTGACGCACTTGAAGACATCGGCGTAGGTGGGCCCACTACACGCATGGATAATGAGCTATCTCAGAGGACGCTGCAATTTTTATGTCAACATCTGATGGCGACACGGCCAGAACCTCGTAAGCCGTGGAGTTCCGCAAGGCGCCGTCCTGAGCCCTATGCTCTTTAACATAGCACTCATTGGCCTTGAAGCTGAGCTTCCCGACGTTGTCAGAATCAGTGCGTATGCGGACGACATATGCATATCGGGCATCTGGAGCAACGCGACCACAACTGCGAGCAAAGCTACAACAAGGCACATCAGTAACATCTAAGTACTTGCGCCGTCAGTGCCTGGAACTTTCAATAGCGAATATGCTGCATAGGGCATTTACGAAGAAATCAATGTCGCGGTACCAATCTTCACTGACAGGAGCAGTGATTCCCGTAGTCAAGCACCACCGCTCTTTAGGGAGTCGTCATTAATCGCAACCTGTCCTGGTCAAAGCCATCCATGTTGCTGTTGGCACCGTTACGCAACTGCAAACAAATGGCTATACAAAAATATGCCAGCTATTTAACGTGTGGCTATGCGTGCACATGTGCATACCGTTAGCGCCACTTCGGAACGTTTCACATAATAAAAAAGCGCAACACAGTCACCTTCTATCCGCATGTTTCGCATAACAGTTGATGGCCAAGGTACGTGAGTTCTGCTCAACTTTTCCCGACAAAATATTCAATAACGTCTGATTACAATCTCTGCAAGTCATCTTATCTGTGCACCCACCATGCGGTCCGCCATCTGTAGCAAAGTTTTGAATTTCCTGTTTCAGTTGAGACGGATGTCAATAGAAATAATGATTTCATAAATTTGTGCTTGCGGCTGAATGTGAGTATCCAAGTAACAACCGTTAGGATGCTTGTGGTATATATCAAAACATTATTAAGAATGTAAATTTCTGAGATAGCGACTTATATCTTGATACTAGTTGTTTATGGTTCCGAACACCACGTAGTCTCAAATTTTTGACGTACTTGTAGATATTCCTTAGTCACACGAAAAAGCTCCATAAATTTCCATCTCAGCTTGGAATTGCCAAGGTTGCTCCTGCAGTGTTTAATAAAAAGGACTTTCCCTTTGATGAGAATTATCAGAACCAAGAGAACTGGCAAATACAAACATGTTGTGAGCATGTACTTCCGCATTCCTGCCAAGGTTTTCTACGACTAATCTGGATTTTCAAGACGCCCTTTCAATTTAAGGAGAATGGTCGTCATTCGAACGAGACATCAATTGTTCTAAGAAAAACACATCCATCTTAGACGTAACTTTAGTAATTAGTATTTCGGTAGCTGTCAACTACACAACTACGGCCCGCATGTACGACATCGCGATTGAGCTTTTGAAAACTTTTTTCAGCTGCTCCACAGTCATAATCATCACTGCCTAATAGAGGGACAAGCTTGACTTGCCCATGTTTGCGCTGTTCGTCGCCACTACACCTCTTAACGTCATAACCCTTGCGTATATTTTTTGCCGCTCAATTCCTGGGATTTTCTGGGCACGTGCAATCAAAACTGAATGGTATCACGATACCGGCTGTGGTTCAAAAATAAACATAGTCGTTTCTAGGGCTTGCAGTAGTTTTTCCACGCTCGACATCAACAGGGTTTCACGAAAAAAAATAAATGTGGATTCATTTGTCTGCTGGTTCAAGTAATTATTACGTGGTCATCACCGAATAAAGTCAATAAGAAACCTCGGAGGAAGCAATAAATAATTTTTATTTTGCCTGAGTGCTATCAAATTAGAGCAAAAACTCTTCCGGCCATGAATCGTTGATCTGCCTTTAGGAATACCGGAAAACTGCAAAAGAAAGTAAAAAGGAATTGAATGAAAAGCGTGCAAAGACTTGATACTGTGGTATACATATTCAGTCACGTTTACAATAATAAAATGTTTCAGTGATGTAGGTTTATACACAACCAAAATACTTTTTGCACAAATAAAATTACACCTAAATAATAACGTAGCGCGTAAAATATGATAGACACAGGAAAAGGGCAGGGACAGAGGGGAGCGCTTCCCTCTGTTCCTTTCCTTGTCCTGTGCCTCTCATATTTTACGTGGTACGTTATTTGTTATGTCTTACCAACACGCCCAACTTGATACTCTAGTAAAACTACGCACAATGCAGCAGACCACGTCAGTAAGCTAATCCATCACCGGGGTGATTTTGTGTTGTAACATTGGGTTTCAGGGAGTTATCTGTCTGCTTAAATAAGATTGCTGGCACAGAATTTGCAATTTTCGCAGTCTTTCTTTGGAAAATAACCGGCAGTTCACGGCAAGTATAACGGCATTTGAAAACTCCCCGGCCACATTCCTATATAGTCGTATGGAAGCAAAGCCTGGGAATTCTCGAACAGCTCTGTATATTAGCACCTATCCTAGGTGAGCAACGCCACCCTCTAACCAACGCTGGTGATAACAGAGCCTGATAGACATCACATTCATTCATAACGTCTCATAGAATGTCGCCGCAGTAAAAGGTGACACCGACAAGTACGGTGGCCATGAAATGATTGGTATACATATATTCTTACGCATCGAGAATACTCGAGCGTTGCCAGACTGGCAAGCGTGCGTACACTGTGTTAGCGGTAACTGATACAAACCGATACAACCTCTATTGTTCGCAAGAACTGACTTCCAGCAAATGCTTTTATAGGAATTGTTAATTTTAGTACCTAAATAAATGGCGGAGGGGAAGGCTCTTATTCATGACGACTGGCGCGGGGATGTAGGGGTATAATGATGCTCTATAGCAGTCTCTGCTGAGCTTCTTGGGGATTTTACAGCTGACATCCTACCATTTTGTTGAATGGATGACGCTCTAGCATCACCTGCCCCCGACCCTGCCGTTCGTCTAGGAGAGATGGAAGAAAAGCGTTCTACGGCAAGTCATGCTCAACTATTGTCGATTATGCTATAGCAGCTTTGAGCTGCCGGGGTGTGCATCCGAATCACTTGCTGTAGCTTTTGAACTTGTGGTGTCTAAGGGAGGATTTACGCTAAATGCCCGTTTGTCTCAGTTGCGCCCTGCTGTCCTGAATGATTCCCCGAACTCTTGGTGCTATGTACAGCAGGATGAAGTGGCTGTAGTGCTGAGGTGCTGGAGTCGTTTTTTTTTGTGATGCTTCGCGGTTCCTTCGAAATTTATTTCCATTTTCTGTACTCAAAGTACAATATAAGAGTCACAAAAAAGACAACCTTACCCAAACCGAATAAGAATAATGTCTGCGGGATGATGCGGTGGCAGTGGCTCTTCTGTTTTTATATTTCGCTTATGTTGTCGGTGGTTTAGTAGCTGCTAAGGTGAATCTAACTAAACGTCTGAGAGTAGCATTCTGCGGTTGTGCCCAATTTGATACTGGAATAGTGAGAAAACTCCTTCCACTAAGGTTTGTACTTTAGCTGAGGAGGCCACTCTTTTAGACCTTGCGGTTCCCAGACTGTACAGAGTTATAACAGAAGAGAGGAGTTAATGTCAAAAGAACAACCAAGACTTACAGAAGGCAATAAAATTGAGAAACGTATCACTGGAGCAACTTCATGCGAGTGAACTCCTCAATAACTAGGGGAGGAGGAAACCATGCAGAACAGTAGGGCACAACTGAGACAAAGTGGACATTCGTGATGGCTGACTCCCCGTTAGTGACCACAAGAGCAAGAGCAGCAGTAATAGAACCAGGTGCACGTCCAAGACAGCCAGCATCTCCTACAGCATCATCGCAAATTGTTGGAGGAACGGCTGCCATAGAGCGTCTTCCTGTATTCCTGGTACTAGTATTTAGCTTGCGTTACGACGTCTGCACTCTGGTTCTCACTCCACTTTCTGCTTTGTGCGGCAGCGATTTCGCCAATGTTGGTCTACTCAAAAGCTGCGCTGGGTGTGATGCACTTTTGGGCTAGTTACTTTTTACTCTAGGCTTTACTTTATGTGCCCTACACTGTTGCTTCAAGCAGCGTCGACTCCCGGAGCTTCTCAAAGTTGCAGCTCTTCAATTTCAATTGCAGGTCTCGATAGACCCGCTCGAAATTATAACCTTAGTTCTGCGTGTGAAAATGAAACACGTAGCGCTCGAATGTTTCATTACCTTGAGGTGAACAGGCCTCAAATGTTTGGATTAACTTTCCTTTCAAAGGTAACGTTTTCACGTAACAGCCCTCGAAGAGATGTGTGCCTCCCAGTTCATATCGGAGAATACACCATGGTGGTAAAATTTTTTGTTGTGAAGAAGGGCTGGCAGTTCAGAATAGGACAGACCGCCTGCGAGAAGTTTGCTTCTGAGAACGATATGAGAGCAATAATAAATATGACTTATAGGAATGTAATCGCAGAGAGTACCCGAAGTTGTTCACGGGCATCAATCAACCATTGCGAGTACACACTGGCCCTCCTAAGTAGCACCCGCCTTGTGTAGCAAGATCAGGGCTTTTTTGGGAGAGGCTGCGTCAATTTTCCCTATCCGGGGAGTCTGTGGCAGTGAGATAGAGCTCCACTTGCTGCCTGAACCAAATCCACCTCTCCACTACAGTGTGCCCTAAACGTAATGGCTCTGGAAGCGTAAGTTCAATTAATCAGTCCTACGCTCGCGAAAGAATTATTGCAATGGGATACACTAGATTGTCGAAGACGCAGACTTCGCTTGAAGTTTTTCCACAACATCTTTCATTCAAAAGTTGGCATTGATAGGCATCTCTACATAAATGCAGCTAATTACTATTCCCATAGGGTTGACGATAAGAATAAGGTTATGGAATTTCCCTGCAGAACACAGTCCTTTAGCAAGTCTTTTTTTTCTAGAACAATACGGGACTGAAATCAATTAGACAAGTCTGTCGCAGTTATATCGTCCAATGACATATTTTTTTCACTGCTAAAATATTTCTTCTTGTATTAGAGTTGCTGTTCACTCATGTTACTGCTAGTGATGACTGCTATATGCTTGTAATTGTATTTTCCTTTATTGTACATTCTCGTTCATGTAATTATGCTTTTATTACTATAATACACTTCATTGTTAAATAATTAGTGTATTCTTGTTTACTTTTAATCTTGTTTTCATTTTTGCACAATGATTCCCTATGGTGCACATTAGTGTACACTCGTTATCTTCTTGTATATGTATTTGTTTTCGTGATGCTGCTAGCGATTGTTACCAACTGTATGCTTTGAATTTTTCTTTGCATCGCCCCCACTGTAATGCCATGTGGCGCTGTGGGTACGGCATAAATAAATAAATAAATTCAAGATGTGGTTACCTAGCAACTTCTAACACCATGTAATAGGCAACACTGACATATACGGTGGTCACTGAAGGACTGGCATTTACTCTTATACACTGGAAGGGCTTCAGCGTTGCCGCATTGGGTGGCGAATATAGGTAATGTGAGAGGTAACCGATACAAACTGACACAGCCGCCAAGGCGAGTAGGTAACGCTAGCATAGGGCTATATTAACTGAACACAAACTCTCTCGGCATGTCATGATGAGGACAAAATAAACCGCCTACAACACCATGGGTCAAGCATTGGTTTGACGCCATACATGGGCTTTTCCTCACGCCTATTGTTTATGGCAGTGCTGCCTACCAATTCAATGCCACCTAAATAAATTTCGTCAAGGCCTGGAAGCTCTAGTGCATAGGTCACAAAACGACATTCATAGTGGACCAGATTTTTCTGAGTACGGCGCTTTCACTTTACGGGCGTTAGCACCCACAGTGGTCACCACTGGGTGGTGAAGCCGCTTGGTTTGCACGCTGTATTCTGGTGGTTCCTCACTGACGCCTGCGCTAAGCGGCGTGTTCTCGTCAAAACTTTGGCCATTTCAGCATTACTGGCTATCTACGCTGGAAGTGTGTAGAATTTTTCATGGTCTGGTAGGTGTCTCATAGTTATTTTGCAGTTGTAAGCTGCGTGATAAAGCCAATTGTTGCATTTTTTTCTCGGTGCTGTCAGCCACTATCACTTTGAGGTGTGCGCTACTTTTTGTTTGTGCGTGGCTTCGACATTGCTGTGCATCCAAAAAATTGTTTTGTTGTGGATCCTACGACTCTGTTGTTGTAACTACGGGCGTATGTGTGTTTAGTGTAACACTTGCAGACTCAGCGAAAGGGTTCATCGTGATCTTCATCATACCACCCGATGTGCCAAGGAGATTGTCAGGTATTGTTTTGTTGACCCCGACATGGATTTCTCTCTCCTCACTAAATCATTTTGAAGACCACTTTGGGTGGTACAGGCGCATGGTTGGGTTTCAGCGCGGCGTATCTAGCAAGCAAGCGCACGAAAGGGTTGCAACCTTCGTCAAAGCACGCTACCACAGTGCGGCATGTTCGCTGGCATGTACACTGCTGACAATGTCCAAAACATCCTGGTCATTTAACGTGGAGCAAAAGTACAGCGAACAGCCTGAAACGTCGTTATGACTACGCGAGCAACATCTAAACTAAAGCTCATTTTCACAGTTTCGGCTTTGACGACAGCGTACGAAATGCACGTTACCTTCAAGAAGCAAAACTGTGATTCTTGCAAAGACGTACAAATCGAGAATAGGGCAATAAATGTTTCACTGGCACTTGCGCTGTTGAGCCTCGAAAAAAAATGAGGAGGCTTTGTTTTCATTGCAATTTGAGATCTGAGTTCACTTGCACGTAATTGTTTGTTGTAGAACAATTCGTAACAAAGTCAGGGCTTTTAGAGACCAATGGCCAGTGCTAGATAGTCGCGGAATGTACGCTGGTATTGCTGGCAGTTGAAGACTTCGCAAAGTTTGACTGCTGTGACTATGGACACGGTAGCGACCTAGTGATCAAACATTCACTGTGGGGCAGCAAGATTTTGCTAGATAATTCGTATCGACGCCTGAATGAGAGGGAACAAGAGGGAAAAGTCAAGTCCAGAAAAAAAAACTCCACACGCTTGCCAGCAAATTAACGCACGAATGCTTGGAATAAAATAAAGGGCGGAAGCAGAATGAAGTGTCTAGGATTACGCATGTTTTGAAGCATCTGCAGTTTCTTCTTCAGCATATGAACGTTTATTACTAATATACCAAGAATTCTAATCGATAAAAGACCATTCACTATAGACCTCGCGTGGGTCAAGTGTTGGCCATCTGATGACACGCCAAGCAAAGAGCTTGCAGGCCTTGATGAAGTTTATTTAGGTGGCATTGACCAAATGCGGTTAATTGGCCAGCGTATACTAACTCAAATTGCTGCACGTTGGAAGGTATTCGTCGGCGTTCATCGCACCTAATATACGTTATCATCAAGTTTCCTGGGTGCCACTTAAAAGATATATTATTCTGCAAGCATTCAGTGCCATCTACTCGAGATAAGTAGGACAAGTAATTTTGGATTGCGAAAATTTCCGGAATTGTATATTCAGAGTGTTAATTATTCTTGTTGCGAGCATGTTCAAAACGAATGCTAGTTGTTGTGAACCTTTAGCACATAATACATGTAGGATATCACTCACGTGAGTTTGCACAAATTGTGGTTTTCTGTGAGTGTTCTTGCGCATTGATATTCAACTTGTATATTTTTTGTGTGTCGGGGGGGGGGGGGGTGTCATTATTTAACGTAGAGTTGACTGTAAATTCACTGTTTCAGGACAAACCCGTTAGATTGAAAGTTACAACAGACATTGATATTCTCCTTTCAAACAAAGGCAGTTTTGCCTTGGAATTTTTGTCAGATTGTTATCTTTTTGCTTTATTCAAGCCATAAAAGCTCATAAATGTAAACATTCATGCAATAGGTGACGCTAAATACGTTAAAAACACTGTCATGATTCAGGGCTGAGCACTGCTTTACTGATTTTTTGTGTTTTTGACTGCAATAAAGTTTTTCATCCATCCATCCATTCATCTTAATGTATCAGCATACAGGGATGTGCAGAATAAAGAATAAATAAATGTTAGCCGACAAATTCACAAACCTCTGAATAGGCACTGAACGGTTTATACCGTTTGACTTATTCAGAAATGAAATAGAGCGTTGATTTCCATGAACTTTGTTGAATTGAGCAAATATAAGAAGCTGTGACTAACAACACCCTTTTCAGACACGTTGCCGCTTCTCAGCGTGATATCACGCTTGTGTAGCCGCATTTCGTAACTGTAGTAGCCAACGTATGACGCGCCGTACTGACGTCACAGGCTACGTCATGTGCCTGTACTTATATTGGCATGCGAGCCGCTTGCTTATCACATTAAACCTTCGCCACCAACTGAGTCCAGCGTCGCCTTGCTCACCGGCTACAACAGTAACATCTTTTTTTTCTGCTGTATTTTATGTCAACTCGTAGCCTGTGTGCTTTTATTATAGAATTCGCTACTTTTACTCACGTCTTGATTGTGTCCAAGGTGCGGGTATAGTAGCAAAGCTTTGTCTATCCGTAGAATCCATGACCTCCTCCGAAGCCAAAAACACCACCGTATGAGCGGCTGTAGGGATAAGGATAGTAGCCGCCACCACCGCCGCCTATACCATGCGACAGAGCGCCACCAAGCAAGGCTCCAGCGGCCAATCCTAGAGCTCCTGCTCCAAGGGCTTTTAGAAGGATTGCCTGGGCTGTTGAGACAGCCAGGAAAAACACCACAGCCACCAGCTGCGAATGCGTGATGTGTGGAAAACGACATAATTATCAATGAGGTCTCAAAACAAAATGTCGCCACGTGTCATTTTTCTCACTTATAAGCGGTCAAAAGGCCTAATTAACAATTGCCAGGCGATACATATTAATACACATTCATCCAAAGCAGATTTTGTGTTGTTCATAGGTCACATTTGGTTTCCTACCCATACTACAACGGAAGATGTGACAGACAAGTCCGGCACATACCTTATACCACAAAACACGATGTGCAATTATACGCCACAAGTTTTTGACAGTTTATGTTTACTGAAGAAAGGTGACAACATACCTTTTTCCTTTTAAATGCGCGAGTGTAAAGAATAACTGAGATAGTTCGCCTTGACCCGACAAATCCAAAGAACACTATAGTCCAGGCAAGAATATAACCCAAGCATTCTGCGCGGCTATCAAATATTTCACCACAGAGCCAAGCTTAGTCTCGGAAATTTTATAGAAAAATGCCCTGTACATACGTAATGTTCATGAAACATCGATTGTTCATGAAACATTGTTGTGCTGCTCACTTAAAAGGGTCTTGTACCACTTTCTGAGCATGGTCAGAAAAGCTACATATAAGCAGTAGAGGCTCCCAAGAAGATGCAAGTCAAATATTAGAGCGCAGGACACAACTCAGAATTCACAATGAATTATCATTCAGCTGAAAATTGCTTTCCTTTGTCTAAAAAGTGACGAAAGACGATCAAAAATCATTCGTAGAAGGTCATCTATTCGCGATTGGCTGATTTTAACATGGCACTCTCGGTCGTTACAGAGATCGCCGTGGAAGGCCACGACTTTTCTATGCGCGCGTGCGCGATCACATCGAAAAAGCCGCGTTTTCAGAGGAAAAAAGGTGCTCAAGGTCATGACGCGCGCATGAAGTATTTTCTTCGCCTCTCTCCCTGCTTAACTTCCAGTGCTTTTGCCTCAACGAGAGAAGAGAGAATGCTATTGCAGCGAACTTTTGCAGCGATGCATTTGTAAGGCAAAATGCTCTTCCAGTGAATTAATTGCATAGTTTCTTGAAACAGTGTTTCAGAGCCCATTTAGGTTTACAAACATTACATATGTACTCCTATGGTATAGGCACCACAACTGGTCAGCATCAAGTGCACGTAAGTACCATTCACTGAAGTAGGTCTCTGTAGCACTGTCGGAGGCTTTCATCTTCGCAAGCACAAGCGCTACATTTTGGCTTATCGCTTCTAGTGTAGCTAGTACCAATGCTTCTTTTGGCAATTTTATTCGAAAGTCAGTAAATGCTTGTATGAAACCAGTACGCCTGCTCCACATACACATATGTGGGTAAGACATTGGTACTTATAGTCATCATTGTTTCACAACGTTTCGCTCAACGAAACAATTGTATTACAGTCACTCACAGTCCCCGCATGCTTCGGATGACATTCATTTCTAAACGCCACACCATACTTTTTGTTCCTGTTCATTCTTCGATCAACCTGAAGAACATAAACAGGCAAGTGATATCGACACGTCTCGAACCTATCGTGTCTAATGAGATACAGGATATTAGACTCAGCCCACGGAAGAATAGCTTGGCCATAGACGTTGAGCAACCGGCTGCGCTACATACCTTGGAAAGTGTCACGGAGCTTGGAGGCCATCAAAATCAGTGCTTACATTCCGCAGGATGGTGACACAACGACGGGCGTCATTTGAGACGTTGATGTTTCCATACCGAACGCAGACTTTGCGGTGCTGATAAAGCCAGCTACTGAGGCAACGGACATATTGCAAGTATGCCGGCTTGGCAAATCTCGTTGCATCAAGGTTACCTTCAGAGGTGATTGTATTTCATCACATGTAAAGCCTGGTCACTTTCATCACGTTGTCCGACCATACATCCCAAGACCTCTACAGTGCCACAACTCTCTAAAACTGGGTGATGTTAGTGCTGTGTGTAACAGCAAGCAAGCTGCCCACGTTGCGCCGAACCGCACAAAGCAGAGGCTTACTAAGTACCTCTCCTAAAATGCAGCAACTGCAGCGGAAACCATGATACCTCACCCAAAGACTGCCCAGTTCTAAAGAAGGAGAGGAGCGTTCAGAGGCAAATGATGAAAGACGGATCCTCACGAAAGGAAACGGTAATGGTTGTTCAACGATGAAATCCCCGTCAGTGGTTCTCGAAAAAAAAAGAAAAAACAGTCCAGTACCGAATGTGCCTTCACTTGCGCCGCCACCGCCACCACCGACGCCGCCACGAACACAGCGACCTTCCCTGCCCCCGCCACCAGGTGCGTTACGTCCAGAGGTGCCGAAGGACACCATGGCGCAAAAGGGCACATCTGACTCTGACTGACCCGCTTTACACTGGGCACACGTGCCTACGGAACCACAGCATCGACAGTCAACAACAGCTACGCCCCCAGCAGGCAGTCTATCTACCCAAGAGGTACAAGTTTTTTTCTTTGTTTAGGTCGTTCATTAGTGTTGTGAGCACTCTCTTGGCTAGTCTACAGATGCCTGCCGCTATGTGCGCGCTGAAAGTTTTGAACACACGAGAACCAGTTCTTGCTAGCCTTCAGTAACAAGGTGGCACACCATTGACAACATCAGCCTTTCCAAGAGAAAGTGAAGCGTGCTTTCATAATTCAGTTGAACACCAGAAGTCTACAGTCAGGAATGTCTGGGTTTAGACAGCTCGTTTTGGAAAACAAGTTTCCAATCAGCGTCATTTGTGAACCGCATTTTTCAAAAATACCTCGACTGTCGGGCTATGAATCATTCGTTTACTTCATCATGCATTGAGCGAAGTGAAGTTGCTGTGTACGCCCGTAAAGAACTCACTTATGTTCGCAGAAGAGTAGTCTCACAATGGAAATCACTAGGTGTGTATATATGCTAAAAAGAAGAAGCTATCGTTTACGCTGATAGGCGCATACATAGTGCCATCTCGTTGATCGACAGATAATAAATAATATATTTGCAACGACTTTAGCTCCTTTGGTATTGATGGGTGACTTCAACGCCCATCATCCACTGTTTGGAAGCATCAGGACAAGTCGAAGAGGCATGAACCTAGTTGATCTTGCACCAGAGCACAGGTTTCAGGTGTTGAACGATGGCAGCCCTACTTATCTCTGAGGATTAACTTATAGCGGTTGCCTAGACTTGACAATAGTGTCACATAGATTGCCACGAAAGTCCAATGGTTGACAGATATTGAAACCCATGGCAGGAACCATATCCCCACGTACGTGCCAGTAAGAGGTCTGGACAATTACTCCTTCCCAGGACACTCAAGACCTATTGACTGGAAAGAGTATCAGATGTCAGTGGAGGGCAAGTGTGTGCACGAACCACTAAAGTTTATTGAATAAGTGAGTCGTTGCACGATGGAGACTTCTACGAAGATATGTTCAAAAGAATCGAGACGTACCAGACTCGTCCAAGAGTTGGAGCAACTTCGAGCTGTCCGCCGACGTGCCGAAAGAGGATACAGACGCACGAAGTCTATCTATGACTTCAGAGAATAGAACATCTAGCGTCAAATTCACAAACTCGGAACAACAATGAAGGAGTTTTTGTGACTCGCTAGACCCTCGAAACCTTTTGTCTCCAGTATAGAGGACTCTTTGAGGCATTCATTCGCATCCCCAACAGTGTCATCCCTTCGCTTCTCTGGCGCTACATCAACCGCACTCAAAGCTTGTTGTTTGTGGTGAATTTTGCGCAAATTTCGCCGGTGACATCTCTATATCGATCGACCTATTGCCAAAGGACGTTCCAGCCACACGAGATTGACAAATGGAGCTTGCATTGATTTTGGAAAAACTTCCCACAGCACTAAACACGCTGCAGGTAGCTCATCGTTCCAGGTCAGGGTGGAGTGACCTATGCTGCCCTACATCACCTAGGTCCGAAGGCACAACGCTGTTTACTGGACATTTTCAATAAGTCTTGGCAAGGTTTCGTAGTGCCTGATGAGTGGAAGTGCAGTCGCCTAGGTGCCTTTGTTGAAGTTCGGAAAGTCTCCATTGAATCTGGCATCGCACCTGCCCATAGCACTAGCAAGCTGCGTCGGCAAGGTCTTAGAGAGGATGCTGCTGACAAGCATGTAATTGCACCTGGGACATTATAGCATCTATCCTCATGCTATGACTGGCTTTCGACGAAGTCGGTCTTCAATCAATAGCGCCATTACCTTAGTGACTTCTGTTCAGAAACAGAAAACTAAAAGCGGCTGTCGGGAGCTCTGTTCTTAGACGTGAAAGTTGTCTGTGACAACGTGACTCATGAAGCTGTTCCTAATGCTCTAGAAGCAGCTGAACTTGGTGGTCGTGTCTTTAGATGGGTAAGAAGCTACTCACAAAGGGATCCACATTTGTTCTAACTGAAGAAGAACCTGCGAATAAGCATTCCACTAGCCATGGGGTGCCGCAAGGTGGCGTTTTGAGTCCGAATCTTTTTAACCTGGTTCTGGTGGAGCTCACCAAAACGCTTCCACAGACAGCTTACTTATCTCTATACGCTGAGAATATCTGCACCTAGGTGTCCGGCGTGACACGGGCCTCAAGTGCACGCAGGGATACTGAAGGCGGCAACAATGACTGCGGCAAACCTTCGCCAGCAAGGTTTGACTATCGCCACAGAAAAAATGCGCAGCGGTAGCGTTTGCACGTAAACCGATGTTTTTCAACCCATTCTGCATCGCTGACGAATGAATTGCATATACGAGCAGTCATATATTCTTAGTTGTTATCGTAGGTCATGACCTAGCCTGGAGTCCACATGTCACATACCTGAAGAAAGAGCTCATTGGCATTGAGAATACATTCAACTTCGTGGCCGGAAAATCATGGGGCCCCTCCGTGCACTCCGCGCTGCAGCTTTATGCAGCCCTCTTTCTCGGACTTCTCCAGTACAGCCTTCCTACCTTTTCCAATACCTGCAAGACTAACATCCGTGCACTACAGAGCGTACAAGCCCAAGTACTTCAGACATCTCTTGGCCTTCCAAGATGCTCATCAACAGTCACAACTATTGTTACCGCATAAGAACAGCCGCTCACAATGTATATCATTGTCAAGCCGCTGAAAGCGTACATTCAGCATTTATCACAGCTTCCGTCACATCATTTAGCGTGTTTGACAGTGCGGAGGCCCCATGCTTAGTTCTGCGGTATTGTGACTAAACACCAGGAGATATTACCACCTGGCTTCAAACTTGCGATGCGTCCAGCATCTGCGTTATGGGTCTCCGTCAACCTGACGTGCGCTTATCGGTTCCTGGAATTGTTAAGAAGGCACGCATGTCACTGCTAGCCCTGAAGCAATTGACTTTGCGTCTGTTGAACGAAACTTACTTTGACCACATACATGTGTGCATCTATGGCTCCACTAAATCCAGCTGCTCCGCAGGAGCAGTGGCTGTTCCATCTGGTTATGTGTTACTTCATTACAAGCTCTCTCACACTACAACGTCGACAGCAGCAGCACTTCAAGGTTTGTCAAGTACACTCTTCGGCAGCAATCTAATTGATTGGCCATCTTTTGCGACTCGAGGTCCGCCTTACAGAAATTACGGTTTATTATACAGCACAGGTTACACAAATAATCAGAAATATCATTTAAGGCACGACTACCACGTAGCTTTTGAGGGAAGTCACGATATCGTATTTCAATGATTGCTGAGTCATTGCGGAGTTGTCGGCAATGACCGCGCGGATCAAGCTGCTTGATCGGCTCCTAACCAAAACCGGCGTGCGGCAATACCACTCTTGAGAACAGACGCTGCAAGGCGCCTACAGTCACTTATTCGCCGTATAACTATGCTACAATGGAATACGCCAGGTTACTACAACGCGCGCCCGTATTCCATTGACTCAAACTTGCAACTTCGTTTGCAATCCTTGCTCCCACGACGCGATGAAACTTTGCTCTGTCGCATGAGGTTGGGCATGACATTTACGAATGCGTATTCTTGTCTGCTTCGAATAGTTAGAAGTTTGGCATGCAACATTGGCACCTGCGAGGAAACACTTGAGCACATTTTATGCCACTGCCCAGCATATCATTCTGAACGGCGTATTACGGAAGCCAAGCTCCGTCAGCTGGATTCACGACCGCTTGCAGAGAAGAAGATCCTGGGACCTTGGCCGAAGGTTTCGCATACGCGAAAATCCTCAAGAGCCCTCTTGTGCTTCTTAACGACCACCGGACTTCAAGAGCGCTTGTGAAAGAACAGCGTGAAATTCGTGCGGTGTCGTCTCGAGCTGACTACTCAAGCTTCTCTTTCTTACTCCTTTTCTTTTCTATTTCTTTCCTTTCTATCATTCCCTCCTTACTACACCCCAAGCGTAGGGTAGCTAACTGAGCCAAGTTTGGTTAGTCTCCCTGTCTTTCCTCTCTATTTCGCTCTCCCTCTCTCTTCGTGATACATGGTACCTGCCGCATTTTCAAGTTAAGGACGCGAAACCAACTACACAGTGATGAACACGCAGTAAATTTAACGCAGAACGTCGCGCAATCTGTGATATTACCCTAAATTACTACTCGCTTTCTTGTTCTAGATAGACTAAATTCTGTCAAACGAAGGGTGCAATACATACCGCAGCCCTCATGATTCTTCACCTGCACCAAATGGCTTCCTTCCTACTAATCGATCTTCTTTATATACCACGGGTGCCCTGAAACTCCCAGTACTACGCAGCAGTAATTTAAATTGCACTCTTAGAAGTTCTTAATACGAGACCTCTCTCTACGTCATGAATAAATCTATTTTCTGTGTATTGTTTGTTTCATCGCGAAACTTCTTGGCTAGGTAACTGATCTTATGCAGCGGCCCAGGCAATCGTAATTCAATGCAGCCGAGTCGTTTTGCACAAAGTAAACGATGTAGGTATGATTATTCTGGGATGCTCGGTACTCTTGCGATGCTAACTTGAAACTGGCGTAGCAGTACAAAAATTACCATGCAGAGCCCTTTTACATGGCGTTGCGTGACATCCCTACTTATTGCACCCGACTGCAGTTCTTTCTCTCTCTCAAAACGAATCAGCGGGCCATGTTGGCCGCAGAGCAGCTTTTATTGCAGCAACATGCCCTAGGAATCTGCAACTTTCATAGACATTCAAATGACAAGGTTCACACGAAAGATCTCTCTAATCGTACTTTATTTCAGTGATCTATTTTAGTATCCTTATAAATTTTTTTGCATTGCAACGTAATTTTTTGTTACGGCGTAAGGCGTTTTCATTGTGTGTAATCATTACATCTGTGCTGTAAGGCCCACGATGTCGTGAAAAAAAGCAAACCTTTGTTAGATCATGGACACAACTGGTTACGACAGCGTAGCACCGGCCAGCTTGCCATAGGAGATTGCAGCATTCAGAACGCATGCCTAGACAGTGCATGTCAGATGCTAGTGTCTGTTAGGTTAGCGTCTATCAAAACTGAAGCGATTTTTTTCTTAGAACATTTTCGGAAATGAATGTCTGATCACGTGTTTCTGATTGAGTTCCACATCGCGATGTAGTTGACACTCGCGATGACCTAAATTGCAGACGAAAAAAGACACACGGAGGCACAAGCATGACAAGCAGGAGCGCGAACTAATAACTATGTATTTGATGGAAACATGACAGATATGCATAGAGTCAAAGAGAAAAGAAAAGAAAGAAAGCGTTAACTGCGTACTGCCTACTACAAGAAAGCCTGAGTGACATCAAATCTGGCCTTGTCAACCACCTGTAGTTTGCACGTAAAAAAGCAAATTCATCGTTGGGCAATTCTATAAATGGTGCAATAACCCACTTGTTTTCGCTAAGCGTGCAGGTCGTGAAAGCTTCAATGATCTGTCTTTCCTTCGTATCTTCAAATCTCAATAAAACAACGATGTTTCCGAAATCTGGCTTACAATGGCATTTTCTGCATATAGTGTAGCTAAGTTACCTGGTTGACTAATGTGCTTGGGGTTTTAATCCTGCTCGCGGGAACGTCAATTAGGACACCCACCAAACTGTCTAACATCAATTTCCACATGACAAAGGAGTACCATATACAACGATACATGTTCTATTCGGCATGTCAAGGTGTTTGTACCATGTGAAAAAAAAAAACGTCAGGCAGCACAGTCACAGCGAAAGCTAGAAGAGTGGCCTTGCAGAGTCTTTTCTAAACACTCACTAGGTAACTGCTGCAAGCACACTTGCTTGCAGCAGTTACCCAGAATATTGCAAAATTTTGGGGAGCAGGCCGGGATTCCCTATTCTATTTTTCCTCATTATTCTGAGAAGCGCGGTATCCGCTCAACACTTGGAAGACATTGTGTGCCAATTGTTCATGCAGTGTCTGACGATGACACCTGAAGTGGGTATGCGCCACAGTTAATAGGTTGACAAGAACAAGTTTTTGTAACGAGTTGGAGCATTGAACGACCCTCTCGTTACGCTATTCACATTCTGCGACGACTCACTGTTCTTTCGTTGTCTTAAAACGCTTTATAAGTCACATTGACGCGATTTCTTTCCCGATATCAAGCCTGCCTAAGGCATGTTTGCCAACAAGACCCAAGAACCGGTATATCTCAGTGGTAGAGTACTGGGCTGGCACGCAGTGGACCCGGATTCGGGCCTTTCTGTGTCATCGGTACTAGTTTTTTTTTCATATTTCGTGTGATGCGGTTATGGACACCGGCGGCGGCGGACAACTGCGGTGCCGCGCATGACCTGAGTTTTCATCTCATAACAGCTTTCGCTGTTAAAAATGTTGCATATGGTACTCCTTTGTCGTGTGAAAATCGGTACGTTGGTCAAACTACTAGATGCATTGTTTGACGCTTACGCGAGCATGATTAAAACCACAAGCACCTTAGTCACCCTGGTAACTAAGCTACCCATTGCAGATGGTGCCATCTTACGTGAGATGTCGGAAACACCGTTGTTTTATTGAGATCTAAAGATAGTAAGGAAAGAGAGATCATTGAAGCTTTCAGAATGCGCAGGCTTTGCGAATACAGGTGTGTTAGTGCGCCATCTATACAATTGTCCAACGATGTTTTGGCTTTTTGCGGGGAAATTTTTTATAGTTGAGATGGCCACATTTGATGTCACGCAGATGGTTGCTTCCTTGTAGTAAGCAGTCCGTAGTTTTAAGTTCTCTTTCTTTTCTTTTCCCTTTCAGCCTATACATAGTTGCCATGTTTTGATCAAGAAAACAGTTGTTAGTTCGCACTCGTGTGTGTCTTACCTGTGTCTCTGTGTGTTTCGTTTTGGTGTGCCATTTAGCGCGTTGCGAGTGTCAACCATGTAGAACCAACTAGCGTCTACTCTGGTCCTTCGAACGGTTACGATGTAGTTTCCCGTATAACAGGCCATATTCACTTTGTGAAATAAAGAAGAGTGTTTGAGAGGTTTGTAGCTTTGTGAGACGCTATCAACGAAACCAGCAGATAATTTAATGACGTAGTTAAGTGTAATCTATTGACCCAGGTTCGTGGCTCACTCACTCTAGCCACGCTCAAAGCGAAAAATCTAGGTGGCCTTTGCTAGTCACCTCTTTATTAAAAACTAAAGAAAGATTTAGTAGGAAACGAGTACTAAACATTCAAGAGCACCCGTTACGATTCCAACCAGTGATAACGCTTTGCGAGGAAACCATAAGTGTGCTGAGAGTTTCAGATACTCCAAGCACGTCACAGCCATGAGAGTCAGACGGCGAGTACTTTTTGCATACGCAACAAGCATACGAGTACGGTTCATGTGCACTGCAGTGATCTTAAATTCACTGAGTGTCGGTAGTGGTGCCGTCATAAGCTGTCAAACGAGCTTCACCGGTGTACTGTTTCTTCTTTTCTTTCTAAAAGCCACCTCTGCCATAAAATTCACTCTTCCATTTAGTGCAATGTTTGTAACTACATTGATTTATGAAAAATATACACAATTAAAGAATTAGCTTACCTCGCTGTAAGAAAAAATTGTGGAACCTACGCTGCACAGGCCTCAACAGTATCAATATATTACAAATATATATCTTATACGCTACCTTAAATATTATTTGGAAATCTTGTATCTATAATGCACTACGTCTCGCAAGACGCGTTGCTCTATCTGTATTTCCGATACATTTAATAACATAAGTGTATCATAAGATACAAGATACTGCTAAAGCAGCACATCTATGCGAAACACTAAAGTTGGCCTCAACTACTTTAACAAACTCATACAGCTGCCACTAATACACCCGACTACAGTGACATCCTTTTATCTTTCCGCTAGAGTCCTCCAGCGAGGGCACGCGTGCAGTTGTGCGCGTTACTATTGGTGACACAGGCACGAAGTGAAACTCGTGCAATGTCTACAAAAACAAGGACGCGAACGTTAGCATGCATCCGACTGGTAGCTTATTCAGCATTTCTTCTTTTTAGTTGTTTTGGTGTCGTGACACATGCTCGTGGCCACTCAAGTGTCCGAAATACTAGTATTTAGTTATCTGTCTATGGCGCAAATTTAGATATCGTTGGGTGGTCGTTACCGAGCTATTCCTTCCATCTGGCCTCTTTACCAAGTCCATAGAACACATTATTGTGGTTGCCTTGCGTCAGGTGACTTTCACACAAAGGCGATTTAAACAATGCCGTAGATGAAAGCTTATGGTACATGTGATGAGATTTATATCATGTAATTGAAACTGTAACAACTATTTCGTATTTGTAGCCAATGTAAGATGTACAGAACAAGCATTTAGCAAGCACCAGACCCATTGACAGATTATAGCTTTGTTCCTGGTATATCATTTAAGTTCTTGTCCTAAATTGATTGTTAGCACGAGTGCTTTTGTTTCTCTTTTTTATTTGCATATATAATATTTGCCGACTAGTTTAGTGCAAGCGGTGTTTTGTAACGTACTGCTCGAAACGTTTTCTGCTTTATTTATTTTGTCAGCTTTCTGCGTCATCTACTGCTTAAATTTCCACATTTCATTTGAGCTCGCGTCAATGCCATGGTGAGTGTTTAAGGGCAAATTTCGAATAATCTCGACACACCTAAAATATATATACAATAACAAAAATAGTGCGGATTATTTGGTAAAATAATGCCGCTGAGTTTGCAATATAACAAGAAAAATATTAAGAAACTATTCCAAATGTAAGAAAAATTCCAGAAACAATAAATTACCAAGTACTACGCTTTTATTATCAGAGTCGCCGTAAGCAGTTTCGTCATATTTTAGATGAGCCCTGAGATTCCTATTTTCTCAGTTTAACATTCAAGACACATCAGTTCAAGACACATCAACTTAAATTGTCATAGCTTCTAAAGATACCACCTGTATTGGGTTCATACAGGGTGCTTCACGTAGCTAGAACCGCATATTAAAAATTGACTCGAACTCAATTGAAACAACGAGATGTAATTTTAAGTCTTGGGGAGCTGATTAAAGCTTTTTTACATTGGACCTCATTGTTTAATAAACTACAATCAATTAGCCAAAAGTTCTGTTATACGTTACATTGTTTGGGCATTCCAAAACAACCAATCATTTCTTCCTGGTAACATACGTAGTGCGGGGTCATTTATTTTTTTTCGGCATTCAAAGAAGGCCTGCAAAGTACGACCAGGTGACTGCGCTCGCACACCAAGTAATGCTGC